GAGACGGCCAACTTGTTTGGGGAAAAGAAAAAAAAAATAAAATTTCTAGAGTTTTATTTCCCCCCACCTTTTTTAAAAGCCAATTCTAACACAGGGATATTTTTCTGATCTAATAAAAAAATTTTTAAAATTTCGCATCTTTCTTTTTTATATACTGATGGGGCAAAAAACTCTTTTATTTCATATATTTTACTAAATTTTTTTTACCTTGTTTTTTCCACTCTCTTTTCTTTTGAACTTTTTTATTACCTTATATGTGTATAGCAAAAATTTTAAATTATGTTACTACTATTTCCTATTTTACCCCTTTTTTTCAAAATTTTTCAAAGGGGTTTCCATAGTAAAGAAAATAAATTTTTAATTTTTTCAAATTTTAAAACAGTAAGTAAAACTGAAAAAAAAAGGGCTGCAAATAAAACATTTTTTACATTTACATGCTTAAAAAATAGAGTTTTTCCCCCATTTCCTTTTGGCAATTTAAAAACCTATTTCTAATACAGTGGAACTTGGTTTTTTTACTTAATCCATTTCCCGAAGGCGGTTAAATCCAAAACGTACGAAAACAAAAATAATATTTCCTGTAAGAAATAATGTAAAACCCAAATTAAAACCCTTTTAGACACCCCCAAAAAAATTAAAAAAAAATTTTTTTATAAAGAATAGTTATTTTGTTGCAGCTCTTCATGGTTACTCTTCTCGTGGTTTTCCCCCAACTCTTCCACATCCTGGTCCTCACTCCAAAACCCCCTGGTTCCCCAAACCACAATAGATTCCACAACGGAAAAGGGATGTCAAGTTTTTCACTAACTTTATCAAATTAGTAAAAAGAAATTAGGGGTTAAAAACAAAAAAAAGTAAAATACATCATAGTACATCATTCTTTTCCTTAAAATATTTTTAGTCTTAATATGGGGAAGGGTGAGTAGTTTAATTTTTCAGTCCCAAAAGACAATCCCCGGGAGACTACATCTGCCCGGGGTTTACCTACCCGCTCATACATGTGGCCCCCAGCTATTTATTCCATTGAATACCATGTTCCTGAGTTTTAAAATTTTTAACAAAAAACATTTTGATGCCCTCATAAACAAAGGGAGAAGTAACGAATAATTCAAGCCGAGAATTTTTTGGGAAAAAAAAGTGTTTATGTGAAGTGTATTTAAAGGGGGGTGCTGGGCCATGCGCAGATTATACAGTTTTCCCAATGCTGGACCCCAGAAAAGTAATGTTTTCCCCCACCCAACCCCTTGATATCAAAACTTTGTTTTATGTATGTAACGTGTTTCTTGTATATTTGAGAAATATCTAGTTGGATTAATAAAATGTCATATTAAACCTAAAAAAAAATTTTAAATTTCCCCCCAGCGAGTTACGAAGTGGGCCCCCGGGGGGGGTTCGATACAGACAAAATTTTTGGGATTGGGGATGAAAAACCGACTAAAATTTCACCAAAAAGTGGTCTAAATCCCAAACGTAAGTATTCTGTGATAAAAACTGGAGTTCCACGTATAAATAGAAACTACTAGAGTAAACTACCCAAAATAGAAGAATCCCTTTTCTATTAACCCCAACTGCTTGCTGCAATAATGTATAATGAAAACCCTAAGAAAGTAATACTCTTGCATATGCATTTCTACTGTAACTAAGTACGTAGCTTGCTGTATCTTCATCTCTGTTAATCACTCCACAAAACTGAAGAGCAACGAATCAGTTTTCAAATAATAAGTCTCACTTTTGAATTGTACCATTTGTTCATTAGCAACCTTTCTTATTGTGCATATGATTGTAGCAAACTGTATAAGAAATCCTACCTAATAATCTATGTCTAAGTCTTAAGTAACCTTTGCATACTAGTGGCTTTATTTTGTGTCTACCAGTTTTATTACATGTAAACCACAATATTTGTAACACAAAGAAATAAAAATTGTAGTGTATCTATGTAAGCAATTAGTTATTAGCAGCTACAGGAACAGAGCTAATTTCATGGTGTCCAATCTTCAGTACTTAGGTTTAGTTGAAGTTTTTAAAGCTTCCAATGGTTGCAGAACTCAATTCTTACTCTTGTAAACCATCCCTATTTGCAAAAGGACACTAGAATGTTTTTTTTTATTTACACAGTACATACAGCAGTAGACGAATGGATAGTTATAAATAGGCAGTAGCTAGAGCTGTAGCCACCTGAATATTTTTAATCCCATTAATTTATTTCCAATGTAATTTATTTCTAGTAATTTATTCCCAATGTAGCAAAATTTTGAAAAGGAAGAGAATCAGACATTTTGAAAGCATATTTTTTTAACAGAATTATGAAAACAAAAATGCAATTGGACAAACTTAAAGTTTTACAGTCTACTGAAGTTGGCAAAAAATGATCACTCGTTGGCACCATTAGCATGAATGAGTAGCAGTACAGTACTACTTACAATTTCCTATTTATTTATGCCAAATTATGATAGTTTGCATTTTTTATTTTCAGTGTAACACAATTTACCCCAGTTTCTTACAATATTAGTAATGTTTCAAGGTATTTTAGTACTCAAAATATGGGAAGATGCACTGCTTGACAGCACACATGGAATATACAAAATAAATTGGTACAAATAATTGTTTTTTCTTATTTCCTCTGATTGTTTCTATTTTCTAATACTATGAGGTGCTATGAGAAAGTTCCCAAACTCAAATAAATTTTCATGCACTTCCTGGATGAAATATGGCAGTGGCATAGAACACACTATGCAGAACAATCCTTTGTGAAGTATCATGGTGATTTCCAGTGTGGTTGATCATTTTGTTGAGGTCAGACAGGCATTTTGTTGTCAGTGCATTGTTGCAATATTTTGTGTAACAGAATGTAATCTTCAAAAGAAAGAACATCATGTGTGTAAAATTTTGTTTCAAGCTTAGTAAAATAGATAGTGAAACTCAAAATGCTTCAGCAAGCATTCGGCAATGAAGCAATGGATTAGACACAGTGTTCTGAATGGTTTTTCTCAATTCAAAGCAGGATGAATGTCTGTTGAGGATGTTAAATGTTCCAGTCATCCATCAATGCCAAAAACAGATGCCAACATTGAAAAAATGAGGAAGGCTATTCACAAAGATCATTGTCAGACTATTCAAGACATTGCTAATGTAGTGGAAATGTCTTATGGACTGTGTTGACGCTTTTTGAATGAAAATTTGAACGAGGTAATTGGCTGAGAAATCTGTTTGCCGACTCAAGACCATAAAGACCATCATTTTCAAGCCAAAAACATCATGATCATATCCCACACCTCCTAATCCCCAGATCAAGCCCCCCCCCCCCTGTGACTTCTTTCTGTTCCCAAAAAATAAAATGGCACTCGAAGGGTGGAGTTTTAATGATGCGTAGGAAATTCAAGCAGAATCACTGGCTGTGCTAAATGCTGTTAGGAAAGAAGGGTTCCAGAAATGTTTCAAGAAGTGATAGAGGTGCTAGGTTCAGTGTATAACCTCTCAAGGAGAGTACTTTGATGGAAAGAACTTAACTAGGTGATCAGGTAAGCCTATGTATATTTTTTCAAGACAGTCCAGGAACTTTTCAATAGAACTTCATATGTACATGGAAATCTTATGATACGTATTACAACTGTTTCAAGGTGTGAAACCCTTCAAAACATGGAAATAAGTCACAGTCTTGGGCTATTCTGGGTTATATCTACACAATGTACTCTTTATGTGCCATCAAAACCACTGTAGAAAAAATATATATATCGGTTAAGTACACAAAAAATTTTTACTTACATACATACATACAGCGTGGCATATCACACACTTTGATTACATGTGATGAAGAGGCATTGTTACCCATGCTAGATGAGACAAGGTGGTAGGACACCTAAATAGGTGAACTAAGGCATTAAATGGAGGGCAGCAAATTTGAAGGCATGACAAGTATGCATAAATTTACCTGGGACACATTTTGGTTCCCCTGTGTAAATTCACATCAGACACTGTGTTAAAAAGTTCTCTCTATGTTAAACTTAATACTGAAGACATGACACCATAAGCTCATCTCAGTCTATGTAGCTACAAGTATGAAATCCTCCCTCACTGTATAATAATTGTAATACATGACTCATCTCACTAATGTACATTACCTAGTTCTCAACTCTTAAACAGTATTTAGTGAAATTTATAATCAGTTCAAGTCAAGTAAATGCTTAAAGAAACACATACAGAATTTAACTCCCATGTATGCCCTGCTGAAATTATGTCACTTGTTCCACCATGGCCACCTGTACTCTTAAGTGAAGACTTCCTCTTCAACATACAGCAACTTCACTTTTCTCCCATCACTCAATACATAAATTCTTCTATTTTCAGATTTTTTAAAATACTTCAGATTTCTCTTTCAAAATGCAACAGTAATTTAAAGTTCTCTGAAGACACTAGTTAACATTTTTCCCAAAGTGTGAACTTTTTCAAAATCAACATGTAAAATGCACATTTACTTTTGTGTATTCACAACAAGAAATTTTAATATAAAATTATTTCTCTTTTCACAACTGCAAAAAATCCATTATTATGATATCCCATAGGAAATAAGTATTTGAAAATTCTTGACAAAACAAATAATCTGGACTTTCAACTGATCTCTAACTGAGTTTAAGAGATCTCTGCAGATAAAGAACGTCACTCAATAGCATCACGATCCATAGAATCGTTCTCTAGCACTTGGATAAAAAAAACACTTTTGATCGACTTTAGAACGACTAAATCTTTTCTTAGTGTTACCAAAGAAAGAATCTCGTTTTACGGTGGCATCCTCTACTCTACCTCTTTCTGTTGGCATAGTGAAATGACATAATTAAATTTTTTTAACAAAATGAACTATTTCAATAAGCTATAAGCAAATGACTCGCATTACCAAGTTTTCAGAATATGCAATACAGAAAGCAAAATGTTTTTTAACTTCAGGATTTCTTTAATTAAAGCTTTAAGATTTAAACTGAAATGTCAGGAATGATTCACATAGTTACCATCAGTTTTCCATTGGGCTCTGTTCCATCAACATTGTTGATGGAAGAGGTGGATATGGTTGGTTTGTCGGATTTGTTGGCATTAAACTGGGTCGTTTCCAATGACATAAGTGTGGATGTGGTGGTAATAGTATGGGTTGTGGGAGTCGATATGAGTGCAATCAAGTCGTAACGGGTAATTGCAGGAAGCAAATCCTCATCTGTCAGTGAGTAAATTAGTTAGTTAAAAAATTATTGTACTATGTCATTATGAACATTAATTCATCCATATGAAATAATTCAAACTAGTAAATAATAGATCACATATGAAAGTTAACCTTAACTGACCACCAGGTGGAGCTTTTACACTTTTTTTTTTCTTAAGTAATGACAGAAAAATGGCACACTCATGTCAAAGAAATTAACTTGCTATAAATAATCATTGAATTCTGCAATATCTTCTTACCAACATACCAGAGAGTGAAATTGAAAAAAAAAAAAAAAAAGTGCTTTTTTCTTAAAATTTAAATTACATATTCTTTACATTGATTGTAACAAGAATCGAATCTAATGTATATCTTACTAGTTAAAATCCAGTCACCTGCAATTATATCTTCTGCCAATGCCCAGTTAGGTTGAAACTTCGTAAAAACTTCAAACTTCTCATTTTAAAACAATGATTTTCGATCGGCTGTCATTGTTAATAGCAAGAAATAGCATTTTAAAGATGTATGTATATACATACACACACACATACATTGACACACACGTCCATACACATCCACATATAGTATATACAGTATCTTATATACTGCTTTCATGCTCTGCCCTTTTCAAAACAGGATTAACGACTTTCTAAAATCTTCCTCAAACATTATAATTACTGACCATGTCAACATCCTCGGTGTAGCAGCAGTTTATATTAACATTTGCCAAAGAATTCTACATGACAAAGTTCACTGCCCTCTACATGCAGCTTTTTGTCATTTGCTTGCAATAAGAAAGAGGTCTGTCAATATAAGGAGTGTTGTCCCAGTGCACATAAACAAGAAGAGAAGAAAGTATAAGATTAAAGTGTAAGAGTAGAAGCAGAAACTAAAAATGAGAGCTGGAAGAATAATGGTCACTGACAGGTCAGTGGAAATACTGTATAACTTTTTACCCAAAGACAACAAAAGTTAAATACATAACCATACAATTTATAGAATAAAATAATACTAGCAAAGTCAATAGAATGCATTATCATGTGTGAAAGCATATTACAAAAATTCTGCGCTGGGAGAGAGAAGCATATCTTATATTAGAACAGTGTCAAATACTGGCCTCCCTGGCTTTGCGTGAGGGACATATTCCCCGAAATAGCTGTGCAAAACAAATGCACACAAATACATATTTATGTGGTAATAAAGGAATGCACTGCAAACCCTAGTTCCTTCCTAAATTGAAATCGAGTAATTATATTTACCATGAAGATAAGGACACAAGTTGATAGATATTATGACATTTTTATGTTGCACAATGATGACTTGCATGGAAAAGTATATTTTACAAATACATTCTGTTAAATATAAATTATAGGGAAGGAAGGCGGGTAGGTTCCTCTAAAGGTTGGAGAAAGGGGAAAGGAGGTTTGTGGGCAAGGGGTGGGACTTCCACAACAGTGCTGAGATGGTTATTAGCAGTGAATGGAACGAAGGTAATGGGAAAAAATAATCTGAGTTTGAGGGTTATTAGTGAAGGGATTCAGGGAAATGTATTTCATAAATCGGATTGAGTCAGGAAATTGGAAGACAAATGCCGCACTTTAAAGGAAGGTTTTGTATTTGGCTTTGGGGATATGTTGTGTATCTTCATATGTGTATGCTTCTAGACTGTTGTATTCTGAGCACCTCTGAAAATTATAATGTGAGAGTTGGTGAAAGATTGAATGATGTGAAAGTATTTCTTTTTGGGTTTCTTTTTTTTGGGCACCCTGCCAGTTGGGAAGCAATGTTGAAAAAAAAAAAAAAAAAATTACTGTAAATAAATAAAAAACTGATTTCATGCTATAATTTAAAAGTTATAAAGCAATAAGTTCTACTGATAAACAAAATGATAGTGAAAATTTTTTTTAAGGCTGGTTCAAACAACTAAAGCCTTAACATATTAATACAAATTGTCTTTTGTTAATATAATGGAACAGTACCAAATAATAACATTTATTATAGGTTTGTATACTAAGTGAGAGTAAAGTGCATGTATATGCACTCAGAACAAGTCAAGAATGAAGTAATTTCCGAACAAACTCAAACTTGTGAATCTCAAAATTCATTTTTTTTTTATATCTTTGAAACCAGAAAAGTTTTCTAGAAGATTCTGGTAGTTAGTGCCCATCTGGACCTTTTATGTTTATGAACCTCCTTAGGCTAAGTCAAATATTGGGATGTCAGGATCATTCTATTTCAAAAAAAACATTTTGAAGATAGCAGAAAACTTTCAGTAAATGTATAAGAAGTGAAACCTAATAATTAATACCATGACAGCCAACCCATGAATTTAGGGTGTGGGCATAGGGTCGGTCCCTTTATATACAAGTAGTTTCGGCTACTGCTTAAAAAAACGCAGTAAATAAACAAATCCTTTTTTTCACTTTCAATCACATACAACCTTTACATATTTACACTATAAATATGCAAGTGCGGCAAAAATGCCCATACATACACTAAATTACCTTAACTTTCGTCCTTAGCTTATAGATTAACCATGTATTTCTTTGTATCTTAATGAAAAGAATGAACAAACCTTTGCATTAGCAAATGCTGCAAAGTGCCTTCTTATAAGGAAAAGGAATGGGGAGAAATTAGATAAACTTTTTCTTTTTTTTTTAACAAGTCGGGGCCCCTCCCACCAAACGGGTGACCCAAAAAGAAAGAAATCCTCAAAAAGAAAATACTTTTTATCATCATTCAACACTTTCACCTCACTCACACAAATCACTACTTTTGCGAGGGGTCGAATACAACTTTAGAAGCATATAGTATAAAGATACACAACATATCCCACCAAAAATCCCACTATTCCAAATCCCTCCTTTAAAGTGCAGGCACTGTGCTTCCCATTTCCAGGACTCAAGTCCAGTTATATAAAAATAACTGGTTTCCATGAATCCCTTCACTAAATATTATCCTGCTCACACTCCAACAGCTCGTCAGGTCCCAAATACCATTCGTCTCCATTCACTCCTATCTAACACACTCATGCACGCTTGCTGGAAGTCCAAGCCCCTCGCCCACAAAACCTCCTTTACCCCCATCCTCCAACCTTCCTTCCCCTACAGATTTATACACTCTCCATGTCATTCTACTTTGATCCATTCTCCCTAAATGACCAAACCACCTGAACAACCCCTCTTCAGCCCTCTGACTAATACTTTCATTAACTCCACACCTCCTAATTTCCACACTCTGAATTTTCTGCATAATATTTACACCACACATTTCCCTTGGACAGGACATCTCCACTGCCTCCAACCGCCTCCTCGCTGCAGCATTTACAACCCAGGCTTCACACCCATATAAGAGTGTTCGTACTACTATACTCTCATACATTCCCAGGGAGGCACTACCATCCTGCCAAGCGAGTGTAAAATGAAAGCCTGTAATTGTTTTACATGATGGTAGGATTGCTGGTGTCTTTTGTCTGTCTCATAAATATGCAAGATTACAGGTACGTCTTGCTACTTCTACTTACACTTACGTCGCACTACACATACATGTACACGTTTATTTATACATGCTCATCTGAGTTTTCTTTGATTTTATCTTAACAGTTCTTGTTCTTATTATTTTACCTTTTATATCCATGGGGAAGTGGAATAAGAATCTTCCCTCTGTAAGACATGCGTGTTGCAAAAGTCAACTAAAATGCCGGGAACAATGGGCTAGTAACCCCTTTTCCTGTAATAATTACTAAAAAGAATAAGAAAATAGATAAACATATAGCCATTAAATTCAACAGCTTTTTTAACACAAATTTACAGAATCAGAGCTGTTATCTTACATCAGCTCATTTCAAAGCCCTGACCTATCTAACATATCCTACTACCATTCCTAGGATGTCACTCACATCAGTTTGCTAAGCTTCCATGTACTGTACTAGGAGAGCAGGTGCAACAGGTGTAAGGATACATGCTCAACAGCTACACACCTTTGAAGAGTTTCGAGAGTTTATCTACTCTCGGAGCCTGGTCAAGCAGGCTGTTGCTGGCGGAGGGCAGCTGCCCCCACATATCTATCACAGCCTGCTTGATCTGACACATGGTGAAGAGACTTGTCCAGTTTCCTCTTGAAGGCTTCTACACTTGTTCCAGCCGTGTTTCTGATATCTTCTGGTAAGATGTTGAATAGTCTGGGACCCCAGATGTTGATACAGTGTCCCAACCACACTCCTGCGCCTCACTGGGTTTATTTTACACTTCCCCCCATATCTCTCATTCCAGTATGTTATGGCAGTGTCCAGATTTGGGACCAGGACCTAGAGTACTTTCCAGGTATATATTATGATGCATCTCTCTCTCCTCCACTCCAATGAGGACATATTCAAGACTTGAAGGCATTCCCAGTAGTTTAGGTGCTTTACTGGCTCAATGTGAGCCGCAAACAATCTCTGTATTTGTTCCAGCTCCAAAATTTCTCCTGCTTTGAATGGGGCTGTCAGCACTGAGCAATATTCTATGTGAGGGAGCACTAGTTCATTCATTCATTAGGGATTTTCCGGTACTTCCGGCCCAGGTCTTCTCCAGATGGCGACCTGGCGGGGAGCACTAGTGATTTGAATAGTGTCACCATCGTTATTATTTCCCTTATTTTGAAAGTTCTCAATACCCACCCTGTCATCTTCCTGGCTGTCATGATCTTTGTCTTGTTATGGTCTTTAAAAGAAAGGTCAGCTGACATAATTATTCCCAGGTCTTTTACATGTTCCTTACATTCAATTTGGTGACCCTCTTGAGTTTTGTATATAGTGTTCCTTTTGAGTTCTTCATTCTTTCCATACCTAAGCAGCTGGAACTTATCACCATTGAATGCTATATTATTCTCCACTGCCCATTGGAAAACTCTGCTTATGTCTTCCTGTACTCTTCGCTGTCCTGTACTGTAATGACTTTCATGCTTATTTTAGTGTCATCTGCAAATGACGATACAAAAGTGTGCCGGGCATTTTTATCTATGTCTGCTATGAG